ACCACGCCTGGCTAATTTTTGTATTTTTAGTAGAGATGGGGTTTCCCCATGTTGGCCTGGCTGGTCTTGAACTCCTGACCTCGAGTGATCCACCCGCCATGGCCTCCCAAAGTGCTGGGATTACAGGGGCGAGCTACTGCACCTGACCAAAATTTCTAAACTAACAATGAAAGTTGAGAGCCACCGCCTGGGGGCATAAGTTCATCTAGTTTTGCTGTATAGGATGTCACACCTTGACACAAGCTAGTGGGAGGGGAGTGTGGAAGAAGCTGCCAGACTCCAAATCTACCAGCAATACCAGTACACGCATCAAAAACAACTTACTTGTGGAGATACTAAAGACAATCTAAAGAACCTACAGCTGGGGCATCCTTATACGCCTACCTCCTACACAGCATTTTTTACATTTACTGCAAAAATTTTGTTCCATCCTATACTCTCGTTTAAAGTCCTAAATCCAAGGCTGAGTCTCTAGTAAGTTTGTAAAGCACTTGCACCAGCAACTTTTCCACAGATCCTTAGTTTTGCTACTTTACGAAGAAGCTGTTACTACCTTAAGTATACAGTGGTGTTAATTACGCTCTTTCATGTAGAGCCCGTACACCTGCATTTAAGAAGGTCTGCACTTCCTTCCACCTGCCCTCACCAGCGGCCTTGTGAACAGCTGCACATTCACCGTCCATTAAGCTTGTCAGGGATCTGGGCTTGTCACCACATCTCCAGCACCTCAAGAGCAGTGCCTGGCCCTCAAACATCTATTGAACGCTTGAATTATTAAGACACGGACAGCTACAAGAATACAGCAAAATGTGAATAATGTTCCTCTTTTCAGTGGCTCTCCCCTCAAGGATGTCACACTAAACATCCCAGTACCACTAACTGCAGAGGCACGTACATGTGTACAGCATGGATTCTTCCAGCTGATGGTGAAGCCTCATCCCCAAAGGTCCTCATACCCAGGGTCCTCCTGATGTTCTCAGTCCCCAACTCATGTCTCTCCCACCCTGGTCCTTCCATCAGAAGTTAATAGTCTAAGACCCCTTCTTCCAGGACCCAGCTCTTTGGTTTTAAGATCTGCTGTCACCTTGGAGAATCATCCCTGAAAATAATCTAACATTATCTCCTTCACTTTACTGTTGTTGGCACCCTTCAATGGAGTAACTCACGCCAGATGGGAAGAAGAGTTAACTTCTGAACAAGTGGTCTCTGGGTACCCACTCTTCCTACCCTACACTGGCCACCTGCCACCACGCCACTCCTTTCTCACACACGGTTTCCCCACCTTGCCCCTGCTGTGCTTACATAACAGAGAGCCTGGCTAGCCCACAGTGACAGTAAGCAGGGTAGGGGGTAGGGCTGCTGAATTTCTGGCCTGGCAGGAATAAACAAAGCATGTCCCAGGAGCACATAATCTGTACTATCCAGACACCGTACTATCCAGAGCTGACTTGGGCCTATCAGGTATGTTATTTCCCTCATTTCTGGAATACTGTTACCAAACAGGAATCACCTTTAGCATCTGGAGAAGGAAAACCGGGTGACTAATCTTTATTTTCTAGATTATTTTTTTGAGAGATGGGATCTCACCATGTTGCCCAGACTGGTCTTGAACTCCTGGACTCAAGCGATCCCCCTGCCTCAGCTTCCCAAAGTGTTGGGATTACAGGTGTGAGCCACTGCACCTGGCCTGGATGGCTAATTTTTAAAATTCAAAATTTCTGCTCTACGATCCAGACCACTGGCAACGTGTCCTACCACGCCCCCTGGTGGCAAATAGCCTTTTTGGGCTTTATTTTAATTTTAAACTGAAGTTTAGAGCAGTGGTTGATAGAAAATTGAGAGGAAGGTAAGGAAAAAGGGCAAATATGGCAGCACAGGAGCAATACTGGGAAAAAGAAAAAAGCTTTTTGTAGATGGCAAGAAAAGTCTGTTTAAAAAGCAGGAGGAGCAACACCACTCAGATGTTACTACCAAGAGATTATACATTCAGAGTTTGACTTTATAGCCAAACACATCTTGTGCCCACCACGGAACCAAGGGAGCTGTGGGCGTGAGGGTAAGGCGGGAGAGCAGCCCCCATGGCAGGCAGGCAGCACAGTTCTACCTACCCAGCCACATACTGGGTTTGGCATTTTAGGATGCAAAAAATTGAACTAAGACAAAAATAGAGAACCAGCCTCCTAAAGCCACATGACCCAATGTCAGGAAATGACAGTCTGTTAATAACAGTGGGCAGAGACCTGTATTTTCCTGGTTACACCTGTTTCTAGTGGCTATTTTGAGAGGCAACAGCACACAATTCTAACGCATCCACACGCAGCCTCCCTGCCTGTGAACACTGCAGTGAGAGCTCCTTCCCACCTGCCTGCCAATGCCTCCAACGCTCCAGCCCAGGCAGTGCTTCCAAGTGGGCACCATGGCCTTGACAACCCCTCTTATTTTTTATTTAAGTTTAGTTGAATTTAGGGACAAATTAAGGCAAGCAGGTGAATCAAGAGGGCAAGAGATGGCACCTGCTGGTCAATCCCCAAAAAGTCATCCAGTTACTTAGAAGTATCAACAGACCGCAAAGACTAGAGCTGCCATCTCCAATTTACTCCCCATGTGTAACACAAGCCACCCACTTAACGTCTGTAGGTCAAACAAATGAGGAACGCCAATCTCAGAGTACCCTGCAAAGTGAGCGCTTCTTAGGGATCCTGTGGTGGGGAAGAATGGAGCCTATTCATACTTTAAGTTCTGTGGTAAGAGCACACTGCACACCATTCCCACTCTATGCAAACAAAAAATCCCAATGTATCACCCCCCCCCCAAAAATACACTACACAAAAACACCCCTGAAATTTCAGTCTCTATGATGATGGAGAAAAAGATAAGGAATCCTAAGACAGACTGAGCAGTGGGTGATGGTGCTGGGTCACTGCCACTGAATGCATTTGTGGGCTGATGGTGACATACTGGAAGGAGGGCGGACTCCAAGTCCTTCCGACACATAATTGGCTCACATACAAAGTCCACTCACCACTCTCAGTGTCTCTGTGGTACACAGCTGGCTCTGTGGAAGCTCCTTACCAACATCCGTGAGTAACAGACACAACAAGACGTTACAAGGATCACACCCCGCCAGCCTTGTGGTTGACTGGCTCGGTTTGCAATGAGACGGCACAGAACCTTCTTACCCAACATCCCATTAGCTTCAGTGTTTCACTGAGCTGGCCGAGCTGTTAAACTTCTTGATAATCTATCCTTAGGAAGCAGTAAAAACAGCATTTGACTGAAGATAGGAGCTTGGACCAGGGAAGGAATATCCAAATTCAAAGAAGACAGAGGAGAAGGTAGGAGTAGAAGACGTGAGAACTGAGTTGGGTGGCTGCCAAAAGCTTACGCTGAAGCCACCTCAGGGAGAGTCTCTTTATCTGCTCAGGGGTGAGCCCGGCCTCCACAAGTGTCCCTAATCCTGCCAAGGAAAGTACAACTGCCTGTAATCAGCACGTAGACAGCATGCTGGGTGCAAAGCTGGAAGGCAATGTTAAAAGCAGGACCCCCGGGACCCCACGTGGAAGTCATGGCAGGGCTTTCTACAGAGTTTTCTTACAAATTACAAAGTCACAGATCAAGTGCAGATATAAATCTATAATAATAGAAACAATTTAAAAAGGCAAAAAGAGTCTAAGTATGGCTGTGAAAGGACATCAAAGGTTGAGAAATGCACATTCTAGTTTGATTAAGTCACTTGAATTTCCCTGTTTAATTTCAGCTAACCCACAGAGAATAGAGAATACATGATAGGAGGGACTGTGGGTCCTGCACTTCCCCAATGCATTTAAGAAAGACTTGGCTGCTGGGGGAGAGAATGTAACAGGAATGTCACCTTCAGCAGTCAAGGGCTTCAGACATTCAAAATCCTGTGAACGTCAGTATTAAAACATATATATATATATATTTATTATTATTATTTTTTTAAAGACAGGGTATCACTATATTCTCCAAGTTGGTCTTGAACTCCTGAGCTCAAGCGATCCTCCTGCCTTGGCCTCCCAAAGTGCTGGGATTACAGGCTTGAGCTACCATGCCCAGCTTCAACTTCAGTATTTTACTATCTTCCAACAATCTCTCTTAACACTTCAACCAGCACATCAAAGACCTGTAGCATTTAAAGACCGTAGACAAATGCAGAGAGTGAACAAATTTCATTATGAGCCTGTTACATGCCCAGGTGCTTGCAAATAGATGTTTAAGTTTTAACTTATTTAGATCCAATCTTGTACTTGGAGATGTGATTAAGTTTTTATAAAAGCTGTGTGAGGTGGCTCATGCTTGTAATAATCCTACTGCTTTGGGAGGCTGAGGTGGGGGGATCACTTGAGGCGAGGAATTCAAGACCAACCTGGGCAACACAGAGAGACTTCGTCACTACTAAAAATAATAATAAAAATTAGCTGGCCGGGCACAGTGGCTCACATCTGTAATCCTAGGACTTTGGGAGGCTGAGGTGGGTGGATCACAAGGTCAGAAGTTTGAGACCAGCCTGGCCAATATGGTGAAACTCTGCCTCTACTAAAAATAAAAAAGTAATTAGCTGGGCGTGGTGGCGCATGCCTGTAATCCCAGCTACTCGGGAGGCTGAGGCAGGAGAATCGCTTGAACCCAGGAGGCCAAGGTTGCAGTGAGCTGAGATAGGCCCACTGCCCTCCAGGCCGGGGAACCGAGGGAAGCCGGCTCAAAAAAAAAAAAGATTTGATAAATCAGAGTTCTCTGCTGCTGTCTGATTTGGCTGAGCACTCAAGCAGCAATGGCAAACTGGGAGAAAAAGCAAGAGGCCACGCCTCAGGTTCTGCAGAAGATGCCGGGTGACTTTTCCAATGGCTCTCCCTTCACTGCTGGGACGACGCCTCCACGGTCAAGGAGGCGCGGCAGCAGTCACTGCTTTCCCTCGAGACCATCAAGAGAAGAGCAATAAGGGAATGCTCTGGTATTCTCAAAGGAAAACATTTCCAAGATAGAAAATGGATTCAATTTTTATTAAATAAAGGGTTTTTTTGGCACCATTCACATTCTCTTGCCTTTCTGAGTAAAACAAGCCGCGTTTATCTGCATCGGTAGCAGAGGGAAAGCTACTGGAGCAAACGCTAAGTGAATGGGTTCCCGTGCCGAGGGCGTCCTCATTCTCAGGCTCTGTCAGGCCTCCCCTTGTCTGCAGGACTGGACAGGCCGCCCTCCCCAGGCCCTGCCCTTGCCGCGAGCGTGTCCTTCCATACAGACAATAGCCTTGCTGGGTCACCTGGAGGAGCTGCGCTCTTTGCTGACACAGTCGTCCTGGGAGGTGGTGTCCCCGTTTCCCACCATGCTACACGTCCTCCTCTTCTTCCTGCGGTGCACTGTCCCATCGCCCTCGGATCCAGACTCGCACTGGACACAGGAGGAGAGAAAACAAGGAGTCAGCCTGGACGCAACCCACTTCTTCATTAAACAAACCTCTGACCTCGGGAGACAGCACAGATATTGGTCACTTTCTCCCAGATGCAAAGCAGTCATTATGGGAGCTCCACAATGCAGCCTTCATAGCCACCTCCTTGGATGTTCCTGGCTCCCTAAGAATTTCAAACTTCCCTCAGAGGCCAAGTATCCCTCCACTGTTCTTTTTTTTTTTTTTGAGACGGAGTCTTGCTCTGTCGCCCGGGCTGGAGTGCAGTGGCTGGATCTCAGCTCACTGCAAGCTCTGCCTCCCAGGTTTACGCCATTCTCCTGCCTCAGCCTCCTGAGTAACTGGGACTACAGGCGCCGCCACCTCGCCCGGCTAGTTTTTTGTATTTTTAGTAGAGACGGGGTTTCACCGTGTTAGCCAGGATGGTCTCGATCTCCTGACCTCGTGATCCGCCCATCTCGGCCTCCCAAAGTGCTGGGATTACAGGCTTGAGCCACCGCGCCCGGCCCACTGTTCTCTTAACGGTGCAGTTATTTGTCTGAATACGATACCCATTGTAAAAATCTTTTAGTCAGAATTCTGAAAGTGCATTATGAGATTTCACTCTACCAACAGAGCCTGATGCATGAAAGGAACTAGGTACAGCACTGAACATTCCCAGAGCCCGTTTCCCGCCTGACGAGAAAAGACTCAATCAGTAGACTGTGTGAAAAGACAGAATTTTTTTTTTTTTTGAGACAAAGTCTCACTCTATCGCCCAGGCTGGAGTGCAGTGGTGTGATCTTGGTTCACTGTAGCCTTCACCTCCTGGGTTCAAGCGATTCTCCCGCCTCAGCCTCCTGAGTAGCTGGGATTATAGGTGTGTACCACCACGCCCAACTAATTTTTGTATTTTTAGTAGATATGGGATTTCATCATGTTGGCCAGGCTGGTCTTGAACTCCTGACCTCAAGTAATCCACCCACTTTGGCCTCCCAAAATGCTAGGATGACAGGCGTGAGCCACCGCGCCAGGCTGAGATAGAAATTTCACCTGTTCGAGGTGCAGGGTCCTCCCACCCAGTATTACTGTCAGCTTCAAGTTTAAGGTCACTGGATTTGCTGAATTTCTAGGCTTACAATTCACCATCCATGGGGGAAATTCTTCATATGAGCTTTGAGGTCAGAAGGATGAGTTTGAAATCTGACACTGCTACTTCATCTTAAGCCATTTACTTCACTAAATCCCCAAACACCCGATACCTCGAGGCTGTTTTAACAGTTCTTAGCTGGGCATGGTGGCTCACGCCTGTAATCCCACCACTTTGGGAGGCTGAGGCGGATATCATCTGAGGTCAGGAGTTTGAGACCGGCCTGGCCAACATAGCGAAACCCTACTAAAGTATATAGAGTTTATAGTCTCTACTAAAAATACAAAAAATAAGGTGGGTGTGGTGGCACGCAACTGTAATCCCAGCTACCAGGGAGGCTGAGACAGGAGAATCACTTGAACTTGGGAGGCAGAGGTTGCAGTGAGCCGAGATCGCGCCATTGCACTCCACCCTGGGCAACAAGGGCGACACTCAGTCTCAAAACAAACAAACAAACAAACAATTCATGCACATGTGCGAAGCTGTAAAATGGGCAAGATACACCACTCAGCAGGAATGGTGACAACTGTAACCCTTAGAACAAGGTGGAAAAACTTCTATATCCTTCTCCTGGATAGGAGGAGGAAGAGTCACACCTGGTTGTGACTGAGTGACATGAGCCTTGGAGGCTCCAGGAGCCAGCCAGCGAGCGAGCAAGGCCTCACCTCTGAGTCGGAGTCTGACGAACTGGAGCTGGAGGAGCTGGAAGAGTCGCTGGAGCTGTCGGAGGCTATCCCTGTGGACTCCTGAAGGTCAACCGAGTCTGCCAGGACTGCCAACTCGGGGTGCTCTTGCTTCAAGATCCTGAGAAGCAAGAAGTGTTGTTCTCAGTGCACTGACAGCCATACCCACTCACAAAGACTCACTTAGAGTTGAGGCCTGTGTCTCTCAGAAACACCTGGGAATGCCAGGTGTGTCCATTCAGAATGGGTACTGTATAATGGTGAGGACAAAACCCCAGGCTGGGAACAAGAGAAACCCAATACAGTGCCCGAGTTTTTCTGCAAGGAAAACTATGCTAACTACACACAATATACTACCACCTGCACAAATGAGCCAGCCATGCCACCAACACACGAGGCACAATTTTCCTTTAGTCTTAGTTTTATTCCCTTGGGAGAAAAAGTTCCTCTTCCTAGTTTTATTTCCTGAACCTTTCCCAGCTGATTTTTAAAAAATCTTTCCTTTCCACAGCACGGCACATAATGATCAGAGCTGCATTGGTTAGATTCTATTTCTAGGAGCAGAAACAATTACATTTGTAAGAAATACGAGGTGTCAAATAACAGAGATGGTCCCCCCTCACTGGGATCGTAAAACTGAACTGAAGAGCAGCAGCCCTCCCCTTCAGAAACCTTGTCTGGCATCCACTGTAACCAGTGACAAAAGGCCTGTTGTATGATAAGGCCTGCGGTGTGACCAGATCGCAGCACGCAGTGGCCTACGGGGCGGGGTAAGTGGGCCTCAGATGCCCAAGAGTCCAGGGAGAACAGAAGCCACCACCCTTACTGGCCCTCTCAGCAGGGAGGCTGAGCACAGAACAAGCCAGAATCCCTCTCTTACCCCGAGAGCTGGTCCCTCCAGGTCAGGGTTGGGACACAGTGGCACGGGGTGGCTGTGGGTGGCTTGCACTGCCGCTGCCCGTGCTGTATCTGTTCTGTGGATAAACAGAGGAGCTAAGTCTCCAGGGCAGTCACCTCACTCACAAGAACTCAAGGTATTAAGTTCAAATGGGAAAAATGCTTCTGGGTAAGAAAAATAAATAACCCAAATAAAACCCAAATAAAATTAGCTAGCGCTAGCTTTGAAAAACAAAAAACAAAACAAAATGAGAAACAATCCCAAATATGACGTTTTGACTGACTGGCTTGGATTCAACATGCAGAGTCTCACCCTGCCACCTCGAGGCTGGCAAACACCCTGAGGACTCGCCCTGACCTTGGCCCCTCTCTCTTCTACCCAGAGGATCAGCAGCCCCAGCTTTGCCCAGGCCTGTCTGCAGTGCGCACACAACATCGCAGCAGTGGACTCGCCATTTTATCTCTGGGGTCGAAAATGAAACCAAGCAGAAATAACAACAAAATGACTCTCACCTATACCATTTCCTTGATAACTTTGGTCTCCCTCTTACCGTCTTGTGCCATACCACAGGGAAGTTGGTGCTGCTGGCAAAATTTTGGGTGATGGCGATAGTAGTGTCGAGATTGAGGACAACATGCCACCACCCTCCTGAAATCCAACAAATAAAAACAGTTAACCAAGGTTTGATCCTATCTAATTACTGTGTAACACACACACCAGAAATTGGGAACTCCTATCCATAAGGGAGAGCCTACAGACATACAGGGTAGTAAATGTTCCTTCTGATCCAGGGATTGCAAATAACTTGTTTGTGGAAATCAAGTTGTACTGGAGCACAGCCATGCCCATCTGGTGACGGATTGTCTAGGGCTGCTTTCCAGCTACAAGGGCAGAGGTGAGTAGTTGTGACAGTCTGGCTCACCTAAAATATTGACTCCCTGGCCCTTTATAGAAAAAGTTTGTTCACTCCTGTTAATCCAAAGCTGTGACCAAAAGTGCAAAAGCATAAAGTTCTTCAGCTTCTAGGAAGAGAACACCTACTTTAAATACGCTCACTTTCCTTCACTTACCAAAGTGCAGTTGTCTGGTGTGGGATTTCCTGACTCAACCCGGACAGTGCTACAGTGCATCAAAAACCCAATTTAGGCTGGGCTTAGTGGTTCACACGTATAATCCCAGCACTTTGGGAGACTGAGGCAGGAGGCTTGCTTGCACCAAGGAGGCCAGCCTGGATAACAGTGAGACCTCCAACTCAATTTACAGAATTAAACCCTGGCTGGGGGTGGTGGCTCACACCTGTAATCCTAGCACTTTGGGAGGCTGAAGTGGGTGGATTGCCTGAGCTCAAGAGTTCAAGACCAGCCTGGGCAACATGATGAAACCCCATCTCTACTAAAATACAAAAAATTAGCTGGGCGTGGAGGCATGCGCCTGTATTCCCAGCTACTTGGGAGGCTGAGACAAGAGAATCGCTTGAACCTGTCAGGTGGAGGTTGCAGCGAGCCGAGATTGTGTCATTGCACTCCAGCCTGGTGACAGAGTGAGACTCCATCTCAAAAAAAAAAAGGAATTAAACCCCAATTTACAGAAACACAAACAAGTCACTACCCATATACAAAGACAATAGGTGACTACTGCAGATAAAGTTGCATCTTTACATACAGCTTGTTTTTTGAGACGGAGTTTTGCTCTGTCACCCAGGCTGGAGTGCAGTGGCACAATCTGAGCTCACTGCAGCCTCCGCTTCCTGGGTTCAAGTGATTCTCCTGCCTCAGCCTCCTAAGTAGCTGGGATTAACCAGGCGCCCACCACCACGCCTGGTTAATTTTGTATTATTAGTAGAGACAGGGTTTCACCATGTTGGCCAGGCTGGTCTTAAACTCCTGACCTCAAGTGATCCACCCACTTCAGCCTCCCAAAGTGCTGATATTACAGGCGTGAGCCACCGCAACCGGCCTACATAGTTTATCAAGAGTTTAACAGCCGTGTAAAATGTGAACAAGAGCTCCCAAAGTATGTGACGCTATAGATACATTACTGTCAGAGGTAAGTACCAGTTCATTTACCAGGCAGCATCCAAAGGATTTTTTGGACTCACTCTCTAACAGTTCTGCTCCAAAATGACAAAATATTGAAATCAAAGAATGTACTTTCTTCCAGTTCATCTATACCTGGTACAAAGACAGTCTCTCCTGGTTTTTGTAAGATTTCCAGGGGTTTGAATTCAGGTGGCCAGGTTGGAAGCTGTGTTCGGGGATAAATAACATTAAACCAGGTAATGGCTTCGTCTTGCTGGTTCCCTCCTTCCTCTCGGGTCACCTTGATGAGTTCCCTGGGAGTGCTAGTAGGAAACAGGCACCAGCGCTTGTGGCCCTGAACTAAGGCATTCCAGGCACTGGTTCCCAGAGGGTCGATGTGAATCCCAGTTCCAGAGCGTGGTGGCCCCATCACAAACCACCTACAGAATGGAGATATCCAAGATGTGAAGTGTAATTTAGTTACACACATACCACACAAAACAGTAAGTTTTTAGTTTTTCTTTTTTTTGAGAGAGTCTTGCTCTATCACCCAGGCTGGAATGCAGTGGTGTGATCTTGGCTGACAGCAACCTCTGCTTCCCCAGGTTCATGCGATTCTCCTGCCTTTGCCTCCTGAGTAGCTGGGATTACAGGCGCATGCCACCATGCCCGGCTAATTTTTGTATTTTTAGTAGAGGCAGGGTTTCACCATGTTGGTCAGGCTGGTCTCGACCTCCTGGCCTCAAGTGATCAACCACCTTGGGCTCCCAAAGCGCTGGAATAACAGGGTTGAGCCACGGCACCTGGCCAGGTTTTAATTTTGTGATATATTATATCATCTTTATTTCAGAGATTATATAAATTCTGGTACACAGAAACACTAAGCGCATTTTTCATGGACTGATTCCTAACAAAATAAGAAAAATCAGCTGGGGCGGTAGCTCACGCCTATAATCCCAGCACTTTGGGAGGCCGAGGCGGGTGCATCACCTGAGGTCAGGAGTTCGAGATCAGGCTGACCAATATGGTGAAACCCCATCTCTACTAAAAATACAAAAATTAGCTAGGTGTGGTGGTGGGCACCTGTAACCCCAACTACTCAGGAGTCTGAGACAGAAGGATGGCCTGAACCCGGGAGGCGGAGGCTGCAGTGAGCCGAGATCGTGCCACTGCACTCCAGCCTGGGCGACATAGGGAGACTCCATCTCAATAAAGAAAAAAAAAAGAAAAAAGAAAAGAGGCCGGGCGCGGTGGCTCAAGCCTATAATCCCAGCACTTTGGGAGGCCGAGACGGGTGGATCACGAGGTTAGGAGATGGAGACCATCCTGGCTAACACGGTGAAACC